GGAAAGAGCATTCAGTGCTGATCCACTGCTCTCTCAGTCTTCCTGCAGGGTGAACAGGAGGAACACAGTCAGTGGCTATTTCCTTGCTGGCAGAGACATGGCGTGGTGGCCAGTAAGTAGATACCCTTGTCTGTCTTGTGACACTTGGGGCAGCAGAGACAACCAGCACCGGTCCCCCTCCCACTGAATTCCCACTTCTGCAACCCTTCTTTCTCCTCTGGTTGCCAGCACTTCTCGCTGCCATGTATACCTCCTTCTGCTGGGCTTAGGCTCCCTGGTGGACCAGGTTTCACGCTCCCTGATGGCTTTCCCTTGTCTTGCACAAGGGCTGCTGGAGTTCTCCGTCCTGTTTCCTTCCGTTGGTTTCCTCGTAAGCTGGTCTGCCACGCTTGACTGTCCCAGAGCATAGACCTCGCAACCATTCCCAAAAGTCATCTAGAGACTAGTTTTGCCTCCTCCTTTTGTGGAATTAGCCCCTTGGGCCCGCACTTCCAGTGAAGCATCAAAGGTGGTCCAGCTCTGTGTGGTTGTAGGGTCAGGATGGGGGAGCTCCAGCTCCCAGCGAGTGACAGGCTGGTGTGCACCAGTCTGGGGGTACTGACAGCACCTCCTGTTTCGATCCACAGATCGGAGCCTCTCTTTTTGCCAGCAGTGAAGGATCAGGGCTCTTCATTGGATTGGCTGGGACTGGTGCTGCCGGGGGAATCGCTGTTGCTGGTTTTGAGTGGAATGTAAGAAACGCGTTGCATTATTAAGAGAGCGAATTTCTTGAGCCGCATAGCAGCAGAGGGCCTATTTCACAGTAGCTTCGAGTAAAGTCTCTAAAGGCTTGGGAGGAGTCATGCAGGGGATAATTAATGCAACCCTGCTAACTCAGCTTCCCCATCTCCCCCTCGTACCTGGTGTGCATACAGGGCGTTTGCAGTCAGCTAAGTCCATGTGCTCTGGGAATAAGCTGCTTTCAGGTGCAGAGCTTCCCAGTCCAGTCCCTGCACAGCCCTGCTAAGAAGGCTGCTGATCTGATAGGTCACCAGTTCACTACTTTCTCACACAACACTTCCAAAGTCCTTGGGTTCTGGGGCAAAAGTGTGACACTTGGCTTGCTTGGTGCTCAAGGAGTTAATGGGAAACTTGCGGACGTTTGCTGAGTCAATAGCTTGGGGCCGGAGAAGGGGGCAGGCTTCTGCTGGCTGGGACTCGCTGGGTGCCCGGGAGGTCTCTGCTCTGGCCTCATGCACCTGCACCTGCCATTTGAAGCCATTTGAAGATACAAATGTGCAACTGCGGGCGAGCTGAGGCCGGGTCAGGCGTGGCGGATGTGGTCTAGCATTGTCAAGCTGCAGCAGCATCAGTGGTTTTTTGGGCTGTGCTGTGCTCTTCCTTCCCAATAGGCTACTTATGTTCTCCTGGCGCTGGCTTGGGTGTTCGTTCCGGTCTACATCTCTTCAGGGGTAAGTACAGCTCTCTCTGAGCCTGCTGAGAGGAGCCTAGCCTCCATCAGGCCTCGTGCCCAAAGGAATGGTGTCCCTGCTGTCCTTTCAGGCTCCTAAGCCCTGCAGAGTGGCTTTAGGAAGACTGTTTCCCCTTCATTTTCCCTGGGACTGTCTTCAGAGGAGGGTGACTGACAGGGCAGTGACCCCTCTTTTTCCCTCTTGCAGATTGTCACGATGCCTGAGTATCTCCAGAGAAGGTTTGGAGGTGAGAGAATCCGGATGTACCTCTCTGGCCTGTCGCTCCTGCTCTCCATCTTCACCAAGATCTCTGTAAGCAGCTCCCACTTGACTCTGTGACAGATCCACCGCTCGTTTCCAGCTAGTTGAAGATTATTTTTGTGCTCAGACCTCGTGTAGCCAAGATAGTGAACAGGAAGAGCCCCAGGGCTGGGAGAAGAACTGCTGCAAGGAAGTTCTGGGAGGAGGCAGGGCAGGAAAGGTGCTGGAAATTCATTCAAAGGTGCTGTCTGCCAACACCCTGTGCGTTTGTAGTTAGGTTCAGC